GGTCTAGAAGAAACATGTTAATCTAGTTGTATCTAGAGTAAGCATCCAGAAAGCTCAAGAGCTCGTGTCCTACAGTGGCATCAATTAGGAGATCAATGCGTAGGAGAGAATAACTGTCTATGGGATAAGCTTTATTGAGCTATGTGAAATCCATGCAAAGGCGTCACTTTTTGTTAGCCTTCGTAACCATCACTACATTTAATATCTAGTCTGGGTAGGCTAGCTCCCTTACAGACTCATTTTCCAGTAGTTTTTCCACTTCTTTTTCCATGGCTTGGCCTCTCTCAGCACTTATATTCCTCAGCTTCTAGAGGACGAGTTTGTAACCAGGATCGACATTGAGCCGGTAGGAGGGCACTTCGGGGTTGATGGCCCTAGGTCTTTGTGGGACTAGACGAAGACATCCGTGTTTCGTTTGAGAAAGTCTACCAGGTCAGATACTTGCTCCTGGAAAAGTGAGGAGCCAATATATATTCTCTTCTCTAGAAGGCTTTCATCAAGACTACTGGCTGAAGTTCTTTTGTTGGTTCCTCTCTCTTCAAGGTGCTATTATCCCGAGGGTCCAATATTTCAACATGGAGAGTCTCATATGGCCTCATGGCCCTCATAGAGGCCATATAACATTCCCTGGCGAAGACCTGGTCTCCTATGACTTCTCTAATTCCCCTAGGGGTTGGGAAATGGAGGAGTAGGTGGTAGGTGGACAGTATTGCCCTTAGGGTGTTGAGTATAGGGCACCTAAGAATAATGTTGTAGTCGGAGGTATAATTCGGTACAAGGAAGGTCACCTTGATGGTGGAACTTCTTGACGCTACCCTTATTGTAACCAGCAGGGTGATGGACCCAAGGGATAAACTCTCTCCCCTAAGAACCTAACACGGGGAGTCCTAACGAGTTACAATCTCTCCCTGCCAAGATGGAGGCTATCAAAGGCTAGTGCGAAATAGGATATCAGCTTAGCTACCGTTGTCGACCAGAATTCTCTTAACTTGGTAATTGACTACCATCATGGTTAAGACTAGAGGATCATCGTGAGGGATTTGGGTTCCCTCGAGGTCCTTGACTGAGAAGGTGATGACCTCTTCTTCCCCGTGTCGGGGTGTCTTTGTCGGGCAAAAGTCATGCAACTCTACCTGTCTGGCTTTCCTGGTGTGTGCTTTCCTGGCGGAGTTGGAGTCACCTCATCCTGTTGACCCTTTGGAGATCATCTGAATTTCTTCGAGGGGTTGTTGGCGCTCTCAGTCCTCCTAATTCCTCTCAGAGGATGGAGCTTATCCTCAGTTAGCAACATATTACCGTAACTGACCATGTTGAATATGATCCTTAATCTTCCTCTTTAACTTGAAGCAGTCATCAGTGTCGTGGTCATGGTCGCGATGGAAGCGATATTATTTGTTTGGATTTCTGTGATTTGGGGCAGACTTCATCTTCCTTGGCCAGCGGAGTGCGAGGTCGTCATGTATCTAGAATAGGATGTGCTCCATCGAGGCATTGAGAGGTGTGAAGGCCTGTCATTTTTTTTGGGGGTATGGGATCGAGGCTATCCTTGACGAAGATTCCCTTTGTCCTTTTTCTCTTGTTCTCTACCTCCCGTTTGTCCTCACGGGTGTCCTTCCTTTTCTCCCCTCCTCTGAAAAACTCACCTGGTCGGGCTTTGGTGACGTTCTCAGCATTCATGTACTTTTATGCCCTTGATAGCATCTCGGACATGCTGGAGGGCAGCTTCTTTAGAACAGAGAACATAAAACTAGAGGAGCACAATCCTATAATAAAGACGGTCATGGTTACCTTATCATCTAACTCCTCGATCTAGAGAGCCACCTCGTTAAAACGAGTGAGGTAACTCCTAAGGCTTTCATCCCAATCTTACTTGATGGTGAACAGGTGGGTAGCCGACTTCTGGTGTTGGAGTCCCCCAATGAAGTGGGAGATGAAGGATTTGTTCAACTCCACAAAGGAATGAACATAGAAAGGCTTGAGCTTTGCAAACCATTGTCATGCGGATTCTTTAAGGGTGGTAAGGAGAGCTCTATACATAATCTCATCGGACACGTTGTGGAGTTACATGAGAGATTTGTATGTGTCGAGATGGTCGGGGGGATCTTTGGTGTCATCAAAGATATCAATGGCAGGCATCTTGAACTTTGAGGGTAAAGGGATAATTGACAACATCTGCAACAAATGTAATTTCAGTATGCCTTACTAAATAATTCGCCGTCTGCGACGCCTGTGCTTTGATTGCGTTGAGGGCATTGCCAAGTTGGTTTTGCACCTCATTAATCTTATCGTCCCATTAGTTAGGGACATCCTCTGTTGGATTATTTTAGTAGCTTTTATGATCGGCATATTGATTCTCCCCCTCATCCTCCTGCCTAGAATGGTCAACAGCGTGTGGGGCAGGTACATGAGGAGGGAGAGTATATGGGGTGTCTGTGCGCAATGGGGGGACTCCCTGGCAAGGGGGCACCCTGGCATTGCATGGGGGCACCTTGGTGTTGGGTTCCATGGTGGGGTGCGCCCTGGTGCCCAAAGTGGGGAGGCTATGGCACCTCTCCAATTGGAGGGAGCATTATTCCCACAAGCCGAGGGGCGATACCTCCCCTAGGCAAGCATCAGCTAGATAATATACTAGTTCTGGCTTACCAACAATTGCATGGTCTCCAAAAGCTATTGTCTGACCACGGGAGTTGCTGCTGTAGACGGTTCCGCTGGTGTAGGCAAAGGCAGAGCCTCCTCCTAGCGGGCTAGGTTGTTGTCCTCCGGTTGTTGATTTATCAACCTGGTTGTAATTTCCATGGATTTGAAAAGAGAATAGCAAGGTTGTAGAAAACTCAGTCGTTTCCCATATATGATGGCGCCAAACTAATGATGCACAAAACAGGCTTATGCACAATCAATAGCCAAGTGTACAGTTCAAAATAATTAATGAAACTATCCATAAAGCAATTAATAGCAAAAGGCAAATATTGGGTCAATACACAGATGTATAGTGGTTCGATCAAGAGGGACCTATTCCACTTCCGAATATAGTAACGGTGGCCGGAGACTTTTATTAATAAAGTAAGGTGAGAGAGAGAGAGAGAGACAAAGGTAAGCTCTATGAGAGGTTGGCTAGCTAGTAGAGAGAAATAGTTGTGTGGAGGGTGGGTAGAGAGATGCCACTCTTATGTGGAGAGGGGTTTAGGTGAGGCGGTGACGTGATGTGAAGGATACTAACTTATAGGTTTAGGTACAATTAGAGATAGTCTGAATCTTAGAAAATGGTTATCCCGACGATTGCTCCCCATATGTGCTAATCTTCTTGAACTCCTTAAACTCTGGACTGGGTCAAATTCACGAGTTGGGCTTGACTTGCCTTTTAGCTGATTTGGGTTTACTTGATCAATTAGGCCTGACCCAATTAGATTTGGGCTCATTAAGTTAGATACAGTAAAGAGTTTTATGATCAAGCTATTCACATTCCTTAAAAATTTTAATTTTAATTTTAATTTGGGATCCAAAGGTTGGTAAAGTATTTGGTGGATGTAACATTGTTGTCTTAAATATTCTTTTCTATTTTATTTAATTTTTTTAATTTTAAATTATTAAGTTCATCATATCTATGCTCACATTAGTGATTAAGTTCACCCTATTTAAACATAAACTATTAACCAAAAATTTCTAATATTCACCTATATAAAAACATAATATTATAAATCACTTAACATATATCAAGCAAAACACAATATATAAGAATAACAAATTATTATTTAGTATGCACATTAAAATCCTAAAATATAATACATGTAAAAGAAACTATCAATTTAAAAGTTCGATTATGTCTTCCTTCATAACTACATCAATTCACTTTGTACTTGACCAACAGATCATCTATCTACTATTAATTATCTAGTGCGAGCAAAACCATATCATCTGTATGGTGTCTCTTTCTAGTGCGATCAAAACATAGTTTATGATTAGAATGTTTAATGGATGTGGAGGAGCAAATGTAATGGACTTACTTATTAATGGATGAGTATAGACGACATAGGAGGCATGGTTGGTTCTATAGAGAGAAGCTCTAACTTCTTTCTTCTTTTCTTTCCAAATTTTCTGTAATTTTCTAATGATTTTGGCTTAAAAAACATGAATTTTGATTAGAATTCATGCTTGATTCCACCTAAACCTCTTGATATTATTGTGAACTATGCTTCTTTAATCAAAAATTCATTCAAATATTTGATTTCTTTAAATTCTTATTCTGCTGAAATTCAAGAAATTCCTTTGATCGATACTTTGCAAATCAAGATGTTGGAACACTAAATCCTCCAGTGTCTCCCACGATCAATGCTAGGCCAGCGAAGAGGGCAGTTTTCAATAATGGTGAACTAGGAATGTATTGGACTGCGGAGGAGATGCAAGATCTTTCCAAAAATTTTAGCCAGACCCTAATTGGCAAATGTGCTTATGGGAAGCCATCGTTGGGAGTAATAAGAAAGTTTATCTACACTCGTTAGATGCTAAAGGGTGAATTCTCTGTAGGGATATTGGATCCTTGACATGTTCTGATATGATTTGAGCACAATGAATACTATATTCGTGCTTGGTTGAAGGATGAGATCTACACATAAGGGTTCTTATTTCATTTCTTCAAATGGTTCCCAGAATTTCTACCTGGAATCAAACCTCTTATAGTTCCTATTTGAATATCTTTACTTGGGCTTCTAGTATATCTTTTTAATTAGGAAAGTTTGAGGGATATTTTGAGTCTGATTGGGTGTATTTTGGTGATTGACACTCTAACTTTGTAGTTATCTAGGCCATGAGTAGCAAGGGGCTGTGTAGAGGTTAATTTGTTGGCTGATAATCCAATAAGGTTTTGGTTAAATATGGGGGATATGAGTGGTAGATGGCAGAGAATTGTGTATGAGAAGGAATGTAAATACTATTCATCTTGTCTTAAACAGGGGCATAATGTTCAGAGTTGTAGAAAGAAGAAAAAAGAAGATGGTGTGTCTGAAATGGTGAATATAGAAGCCTCTCAAACTAGTAGAGGTCAAGAATTGGGGATGAAAGTTGAGAAGGGGAAGGAGAATGAGAATGGAAGAAAAACTGTAAAAGGGAAAGGTATGATTCAAGAAAAACAAAAAGAATAGATAAGAAATTAAAAATAAAATAGAAGGTGGGATATTTAAAGGTTTGAAAAATAAGAAGGCAAAGACTCTTGTGTTTGTCTAGAAAGACAAAGGTGTTCATCTGGAAAAAGGGATCATCCTAGCAAGGATATTGTGATGGATCCATCTTCAAATGATGGAAGAAGGTTCTTTTTCTGGTAAGGATGTTTTCCCTATTAATTCTCCTAATATAGCTGTTTTTTGGACAATGGTAAGAAGAATTTAACTTAAAAGGTTGAAGAGACTATTGTTTATGTTAATAGTCAAGAGGAACATGTTAGTAAGCAGAGAGTGGTTGACATTTTTAATATGGAGTATGAGGATGTGTTTAATGTTCAGAAGGAGAAGGTTTTAAGCATATCCATTATTGAAGTTGTAGATGGTGTGGAGAAGGAGGCTTTGATTGATGAAGGGAAGGAGAGTACAGGGATAGTAAGGAGTAAGAAGTCTTTACAAGAGACTTTGCCTATGGGTGTGCTTAACAGTTCACCTATAATGGGTTCTTCTTTTTTGGTTGACTATAATTTTGCTGCTAGGAGAGTGAGTACTTTTTCTTTGGATGATGACAGAGGTTTGAGTTATGAGAAAGAAACACCAGAAAAAGGTTTTTTCTTTGATCAAGATAGTTTAAAAAGCTGTGAGGCTGTGGTAGTAGATACAAAGGATGATTTTTCTGTTGAATTGACTGATTTTTAGATTAAAGAATCAAGTTATAGACTTAGGTCTAAAGGTAGTCTGCCTCCTCAATTTCTATGATAAATTTCCTTTCTTGGAATATGAGGGGGTAGGTAAAGCTGTTTAGAGAATGAGATTAAAGAAGCTAATAAATATGAATGATTTATGCTTTGTTGCAATTCAAGAGCCAAAAATGAAAGGATCTAAGATTTCAGTCTTTGCTAGAAGTATTAACCCTAGTTTTTATTGTGTAAATGTGTTGATAGAAATTAATATTTGGGTGCTATGGGACCAGAGGATGAGTGTAAGAACTGAGAAATGTCATGAGCATGTTTTGACAGTGGAAGTATCCTTTTTGGGGTCAAAGATTTTTTGGATTTCTATTGTATATGCTTGTTGTGATCATATTCTAAGAAGACCTCTGTGACAACATTTGGTAGAGTTAGATGCCCCAAACTCTATGTCATGGATGTTATTAGGAGATTTTAATGCAATACTACACACTGATGAGAGCTTGGGAGGTGTTGTACCCTCTTTAGTGTCTATGGATGAGTTTAGAGGTTTTATTGATAGCAGTGGTCTAATTGATTCTGGTTTTGATGGGAGTAGAATCACTTGGTGCAATAACTATCATGACTCTTCAAGAATGTGGTAAATGATAGATAAAGTTCTAATGAACTCTAACTGGAGCCTAAAGTTTGAAAGTTCTATGGTGGTACATTTGGCCAGGGGGAGATCAAATCACTATCCTGTATTGGTTAAAATTCTAGATGTTCTTGGGCAGCGGATGGTATCATATTTCAAATTCCAAGATATGTGGGTTGAACATTCATCTTTTTTGGAATGTGAAAATAGAGGTTGTGTAATGTGGGATTTGACATCAATCCTACATTAGTTGAGAAAGAAGTTATACATTGGCATATATAGGCCAAATTTTCTCTATGGGGTTGGGCCCTAAGGAGTACCATAATTTTATGAGTGGAGCGAGTGCCTACATGCCTTCGATTTAAACACATATGTGCGTGCCACCTTAACACGTCCATGACTTGATCCAGCTGGGCCAGGCTTGGGCTTAGGCATGTGTGTGGTTTAGACCAAACCCTATCTTTTTTGAGAAAATGCATTTAACGAATTGGGCGTGAATTTCTAAACCGAAATTTAATTTCGATAACCATTGGATTTAAATTCGCACTGGTCCATATTTTTCCTTCCCTCTAGTCTGAATTTCGAATAATGTTTGTTCATAGATGAACAATTAATCAATGGTGTCTTATGGTTGCATGTGCCTATTGGGTTGCATTCGTTCGCATGGTGACAGTCCAGATCAGTCACTATTCTCTCTATAAATAACATAGTCAGATAATCATTTTGCATCCACTAGTCTGAATTTCGAATAAGGTAGTCTTATATAGTCATAGTTTGGATATTAAGACAATCTGCATTTAGAGAGTACACAACACAGTTCTAGATTGTTGGGCGAGTAGATTGGCGTACTACTTTTATTCGCGTGAAGATCATTATATCCTGAGAGGCATACACTTTGATTTTCATAAACACTATATGTGGGGACAAAATCTGTCTTAATGACATAATATCAAACACTAGTCTTGATTTACTAAAAGTTCAATAAACGTTCATGTTCTACAAATGCATTAGTTTATCCATTGTTTAAATTATAGATTTATTATGTAACTATTTGTTCATATTTGTAACTGTTTTGTATCTGTAATTGTTTCATTTTTCACTATTACTGTTTATTCTAATTGCATTATACAAATAAAAATTTTTAATAAGTGATTTTATTATATTTAAAATACCACAAACAACATAAACTGCCTGAAAAACCTCAGTAAGGTCCTTAGTAATGCCTTGGGACATGAAGAAATGACTTGATTTGGAATATATGGGGTGTAGTCGGTGGTGATTGGGATATTATTTTTCTTAGGCATTTCGACGAACACTTCTTGTGCATTACAAAAGGGTGGGGCTATGGTAGCTGATGGTGGAAAAGAAAGTGCAAAGAGAGAGTTCGTCGGAGGTCTTCAAAGTGTGTGGGCGATGTGCGTGTGTGGGTGTGGGGTGTGAGTAGTGTGCGATGTGTATGCGTGTTGTGTGTTGGGGCTAGGGTGTTGTGAGATAGAGAGAGAGAGAGAGAGAGAGTTAGAGGCACAGAGAGAGAGAAATAGAGTGACTAACCTGAGTAAGAGTGTTGGTGGAGCCAGATTTGGTGGTGTTAGTGGCGCTGGTGGATGTCTAGCATTAGAGAGAGAGAGAAAGACATGGGGAAGAGAGAGAAAAAGAGTCAAAGTGAGAGGAGGTTGTGATTTTCAAAACAAAAAAAGGTGCCAGTAAAGTTGGTAGATGTCCAACATTAAGAGAGAGAAAAGGGAAGGGTATGAGTAGGGCTGTCAATTTTTAACACGACACGAACTGAATACGAAATTAAATAAGTTAATGGATTAAAATGGGCCAACATGCTTAAATAAGAAAAAATAATGTCGAGTTCATTTCAAAATCAGGTTAACCTGATTTTGACTTGATTAACCCCCATATTTTAAACATGTTGACATGATTCGGACACAAACCAGACGTAACCCATTGTAGACCCGTTTATGGCAGTATAATTTGCCTATTATGTATGACTAATGTTGTTTTAACATTATTACTTATTAGTTCTTGTTTCAACTTCTACTAAGATAATTGACAATATAATTACTAAAATTATTATGACAGTATATTAATATAGTTCTTACTTTAATTTTTTGTTTGAAACTTGAATGCATTTTAGTTAATTTCATTGATGAGATGTGATATATTATTTGTAAAAAAATTATTTGAAATATTGGATGAATGATTGAATGATGTATTTAATAGTAATGAACTCGTGTGGAAACATGTTATGTGTGTTAAATAGGTTTGTGTTATGTGTGTTAATAAGTTAAACATATCATGTTATGTGTGTTAACCCGAAAACGATCTCTTTATTAAACGTGTCAAACAGGTTGGGTTTAGATAACTTGTTTAATGGCTAGGTCATGTTAGTGTTTACACATCTCAACATAATTAGTAAACATATTAGGTTTGAATTTTGAGATTTTTGACACAAACTCAAAATCAACATGACACGAAATGATCCAACCTGATAAGTATATGGGGGAGGAGAGAGAGAAAAGAGGCAGAATGAGGGGAGGTGGTTATTTTCAAAAATCAAAAAAAAAAGGGGACGATTGAGACACGTGACATATAGAGAGAATGTGGGATGTGATGTAATTAGGGGGAAAATATGTGGGAATAAAAATTCAAAGACCAAATAGTTATTTTATTATATTGATTTTTTTTAATTTATTTTTTATAACACTAAAATAGTGATGGACTTGGGGTCCGTTTGGTTAGGAAAAAAAAATTGAAAATGATAGAAAATGAAGTGAAATAAAAGAAAATAATAGAAAATATATTTTCATACATGTATTTAGTTAGGATAAAAAAATTGCAAGAAAGTTTTAAAAAATTTCATTCCTAATGTTTGAAAGAAAGTAAAGTTGCAATAAAAATTTTCTAATTGTCTAAATTATCCTTAATTATATTAAATCGATCTAAAGAAGAAAAAGATATGCATTATAATTTAAAGTTAAATTTTTTTTTAAAAAAGTGGCTTATAACCAAATTTTAGGGCAAACATCAACACGAAGGTCTTTGGACCAAATAATATGGTTAATCAAATCTATACCAATATTTTTTAAAATTAATAAATAATAAAATATTTTAAGAAAAGTAAGGGTAGAATGAGAAGTTAGTTATAGATTACAACTTTCTTGCATTTCCTTGTATTTTTTAAAAGAAAAAAAATTGATTAGTTGTGAGAAAATTCAAGTATGAAAGAAAATTATTATTTTTTATCATTTTTCATTTCATGCTAACCAAACACATAAAAAATTGGGCTAATCGCATTTTACACCCTGAAAGATTCTCAAATTTTCAATTTACACCCTAAAAGATAAGATTTTTCAATTTGCACACTGAATGTCACCAAAACGATGCAATGTGTACCGGTCCCAAACGTCCGTTCAATTTACCGTTTAAAAATGCACCACACTACTTGCACGTGATTCTTGTAGGGATTGAATGGTAAAAATACATCCATTGATCTCATGTGAGTAACACATGGTATCAGTTCATCTGAAACCCCTTTTCTCAGTCTCGAAAAATGAGAGAAACGAAGGTTCATCTCCTTTACCCCCTTTATCAATCTCAAAAAAGGAGAGAAACGAAGGTGCTTGTGTTGGGTGGAACACAATCGAAGCTGCTAACCTTGTCTGTGGAACACAATCGAAGTTGTTGACCTTGGAGATTGATCAAATGTCTTGGGTTGTAAGGGAGTATAGTTGTGATATACCACTTGGATAGGAGTCGTCAATTTATGGTGAGAATTTGTTTGTTTCCATCTAGAATGGTTCCAATTTTAATGGTGTGCTTCTGTTTTTTCTTTTTTTTTTTATGTGATTGTTTTCAAAGTTATAATATATTATGTGTTTGTGTGGGCCTGAGTTATTTGGTTTTATGTGATTTGTTTTGTCTGCAAGAAGCTATGTGATTTGTGTGGGTGGATTTTTATATTCAAGTGTCGAATATTAAAATATTTTTTTGTATAAGTTAGTATTTGTTTATGCAGAAGCTAACACAGATTATTTTACAATAAAAATGCATCATAGTGGTAAATTTTAGGATTATGGTGACAAAGTGTACACATGTGGGAGATGGAACCACTTTGATATGTGTCATGCTGACCAAATATCTTTGATAGAGTTGAACATCATGCTGAAAAATGTTGGAGTAGGTTATTATGAGAATACACAATACTATCATAGAGCTAGTAAAGGGTGGAGGGTATTGGAAAATGATCAGAAGATCATGGAACTTGAGAAGTGGGCAAATAGTAACAGAGTGGTTGATCTATATGTGGAACACAATAAGGCTTATATGTTGAACCCTAGTCAAGCTGAGTCAACTTGTGGTAATGGGGTAACATCTAAGAGTTCTTCTGATAAGGATGAAGTTGACAGTGAAGAGTGCTCACAGGGTGAGTCTTCTAGGTCTGAATATTTTTATGATAGTGAATATGATATGGAGAATTCCCAGTTGTATGAGAATGCAGTTGATGATGATTCTAACTTTGTAGGGAAGGGGAAAAGGGTTGAAAGTAACAAACAGAAAGGAGATCAGAATGTTAAGGCAATAGGAATGGACAATGACAGTGGTTAAGTAGGTGAAGATTGTAAGTCTAACGAGCTGCAAAGCCTTAGTGGCTCATCTGATGAGGATGAAACAGGGGGTGAGAGGGTTAAGTATCCACATTTCAATGCTAAGGCTGATATGGTTGACCCACAATTTAAGCTAGGGATGTTATTTAAGAGTTTAGCTGAGTTCAAGACAACAGTGAGACAACATGCAATCAAATGGGGAAAACAAATACGATTTGCAAAAAATGAGAAGTATAGGGTAAGGGCGATTTGTAAATCAGGTTGTGATTGGATGATATATACTTACGTTGGTAGACATAGTTGCAATGGGAATTTTAAAGTGAAGCATGTCAATACTAAGTGGGTTGCAAGTACATATATTGATAAAATTAGATCAAACCCAACCTAGCCCATTAAGTCACTGAAAGAAACAATTATGAAAGAACTTGTAGTGAAGTTACATCCCAGTTCAGTATATAGAGCCAAACAAAAAGTAATTACGATAGTGAATGGGACTGATAAAGAACAGTTCAGCATGTTGTGGGATTATTGTGAAGAGTTAAGGAGAACAAACATAGGGACCACTTGCATTATTAAAACTAAATCTGTAGTAGGATATCAATTTATGTTCAAAAGGTTACATGTATGTTACGGGGCATTGAAGAGGGGATTACTTGAGGGATGTAGGCCTTTAATTGGAATAGATGGATGTCATCTGAAGGGCCCACAAGTTGGAATTTTGCTTGCAACAGTGGGAATTGATGCCAACAACCAAATGTATCCATTTGCATTTACTGTAGTTTAGAAAGAAACAAAAAAATCCTGGGCATGGTTTCTTCAACTTATTAAACAAGATCTTCAAATAGTGAATTCACATGCATGGACTTTCATGTTAGATAAACAAAACGCAAGTATCCAGACCCTTATCTTTTCAATTCACTTGTGGCATAATGCAATTAACATTAAATGTTATATGTTCTAATTAGACTTTTAATGTTGCAGGTATTGTTGGATGCAGTGGAAAGCCTTTTCCCAAATGCTAAACACAGGTTTTGTGTAAGCCATTTGTACAGTAACTTCAAAACAGAACATAAGGGATTAGTTCTAAAGGATCTGTTGTGGAGGGCTGCCAAATCAACAACAATTGTTGATTTCAATAATGTTATGGAAGAGTTAAAAGGGATTAATGTGGCTGCTTATAATTGGTTGTCTGATAGACCACCAAAGAATTGGTCTAGAGCATACTTGAGTACCTTCCCCAATTGTGATATGTTGCTGAACAATATGTGTAAGAGCTTTAATGGGTGTATTCTGGAGGCTAGGGAGAAGCCTATTATTACTATGCTTGAAAAAATAAGAATTTGGTTAATGGAGAGGTTACATGTACAGAGCGATTCTATATAGAAGTATATAGGGAGTATTTGTCCTAATATTCAACAAAGATTGGAGCTCATCAAAGTGGAATCAGCTGGGTTCATACCAACTTGGAATAGTTGGGATGTATGGTGAACAAAGGACTGCTAATGTGAAGGTTAAAACATGTAGTTGTAGGAAATGAGATTTAACTGGAATCCCATGTAAACATATAGTATCTGTTCTCTGCTACATAGGATTAAGAGCAAAATACTATGTGGCTGAATGGTGCAAAGTGGAAACTTTTATGAATTGTTATAGCCACCTGTTGAGTCCTATTAATGGAAGGGACATGTGGCCTAGAACAGGTTACTCACCTTTAATCCCTTCTACTGTAAGCAGGATGCTTGGAAGGTCTAAGAAAGTTAGGAGAAGAGAAAGAGATGAACCATCCAATGGTAACAAATTGAAGAGAAAATATAAGCAGATTATGTGTTCAAGTTGTGGTCAAATTGGCCATAACAAGAGGAAGTGCAAGAAGGCAGTAGCTGCATCACCACCTGAAATAACACCATCACAAACAACATCAGGAGCACCATCTGCAGCACTAACACTTGCAACACCATCTACACCACCACCTGCAACACTATTTGCAGCAGCATCACCTGCAACAACACCACCTGCAACACCATCTACAACACCAACAATGAAGTTACCTGTGTGTAATTTTGTTTGAAATTGATTTTATTTTTATGTTTGGTGCCAATACACTACTGCATTCCATACCTACACTTATGCATTCCATCAGGTTAGGAGGAACAAAGGTACATCACCATTTGCTACACAGTCAACACCAAGTGTACCATTTAGGCCAGAAACACTATCCTCAACTACACCAGTTGGACCAGCTAGACCACACACAATGTGGAGGCCAATTGCATCAGCTGGACGACACACAAATTTGAGGCCATCATCTTCAACTACATCAGTTAGACCACGTACAATGTGGAGACCACTAACAAGATAGAGGCCACCAAAAACATAATCATCAGCTGAATCATCAATACGTTAGAAGTCATATGTGGAATGTTGACTCTTTTTGTGGATGACACATTTTTTGTTGAGATTAATTGTATTCTTTTTTGCCTGATCTCATTTTAGGAAGCATGTGTCACCCTTTTTTGCAAGCTCTGTTTCTGGATTAATGATAATGTGAAACTTGCTTTTAGTATTGAATGGAATTATTGGGCATTTTCTATTACTGATGTTTCTTTCCATTTCATATTCAATTGGACTTTTGAATTCAAACAAAAGAGATTCACTCATAATCCATTACAATCCATCTTCATTATAACATAATATCATTGCAATACTTAATACAGAACTATGTCATAAAGTTTCACTACATCCATCTACTTAGACAACCATTAAATTGGTCTTCATCAGCTTCACTACTTAGTGACCAGTTGGAAGCTCTCCATCAATACCATTTTCAGAGGGGTCACTCTTATAGCAACAAATTAGGATCATAAGCAGCCAATAAGCAACCAAACAGACCCACAACATTCTTGCCCTTCCTCTGTGTCTCTCCACCTGTGTCTCCAAGTTTGTTACACGACGTAATAAGCTGGGTATTATCTGTCGTGCTCGTATACACATAGGTGGATCAACCAAACACAATAACCACATGGACCACCTTCCTACAAGTGAAAAATACAAATATTTGTTTACTCTGTACAAAAAAAATTGCATAAAAGACTTTTTTCAAATAAAAAAATTTAGATGAAATAGAACAACTATAATCCATAATGTGTGAAAAATCGGTCAGAAAAAATGGTATGAATGCACATCTTAGTTCATCAATTGCAAGAATATTACTAAAATTCTAATGGGATGTGAAGTTATACCGCATAGTTATCGCAAACCCTAAACCTCCTCCCAGGTTTTAGGTCTGTCCATCTTCATTGCTGTCCTTCGACCACAGTAGTAGACCCCTTTCCATTTTTTGCTTTGTTTGTTATCTTTTTCTTCCTTGTTTTTCTCCTCTTCTTCCCTTGCACAGCTGACTTTCTCCAACCAATCTTATATGAAGACGAAGACAAAGGTAAGCCAACTTCGATTTGGCGCCAAAGGAATGTGTTTTTACAATTCAATCCCTGCAAGAATCACGTGCAAGTCGTGTGCTGAATTTTCAGATGCTAAATCGAACGGACGTTTGGGACTAGTGCACATAGCATCGTTTTGGTTACATTCAGGGTACAAATTAAAATATCTTATTTTTCAGGATGTAAATTAAAAATTTGAGAATCTTTTAAGGTGCACATTGCGATTAGCCCTAAATAATTTATGTTTCCTACATTTTTTACTATTCTTGCGCCAAAAAAAAGGGCCTCGGTTGATTTTCTCATTTCTGTTACCGTTTATTCTCACGATTGGAGTCTCACCGAGTTTCTAACAAAATAAGTCAAACTCAGTGAGTGATCAAAGTGCGGACGCGAGCAAATTTTTGATCAAAAAAAAAAAACATTGCTTTATTTCACGCGCAGATACACTGATACAGAGAGAGAGAATGGGGAGGGAGGTGTCAGAGAGTTGCGTGGAGAGTCTTCTAACAGAGATAGTCTCTTCGTATAGCAATGGCTTCTACGCCAATAAGCCAGATCTCGCCGCCCGAAGGATCGAAGCCATTGGCTATCAGGTCGGCCACCAGCTCTCGGAAAGGTAACTTCACATGTACACGTGTACCCTATATGTATTGTAGAACCCTAGAATCAAGTTTAATTTCTCTTGATTTTGTTTTGTTACACCGTACGAAAATGGGTTTTTATGATCCCTGAGTTGGGTTTTCTGTTTAATTGGTGGAGACACCGACCAAAGCCGATCTCTTGCTCAGTATAGAGTAAATGATTGTTGTTGTGTTTGTGTATGAATTAAAATTATACGTTTGATTTATGAGAGCATGAAATTTAGTAAAGAAAAGAATTGAAATTTTTGTTAATCGTAACTAGCTATTTAGGATCTGCAAACGTTTCAAATTTGACAGTTTGGCCAAGCATTTCATGCCCGTTACTTTCAAAAATTTTGATAATTTCATTATGTGGAAGTTTTGGATTCTCTTTTTTTCTTGGAAAATTTCTCAACAATCTTGGGCTTGCCAATTGACTCTCTGATGAAATTAGTTGTTACGAAAATGTACGTATGAAATTTTATCAACATTGCCCATAAATAGGTTGATTTTCCGGATTTGGGGAGGTGAAATGGTGGCTTGATGATGGATTTGGAACTCATTGGTACTAATTCATCCCGTCTTTAGGGCGATGGATATTATAAAATTTTCTAGGCGTAAGTTTGCAGGGATCTAAATTCAGTGAATTAAATTTGATGCCATATCTTGTTTAAATTGTGTTCCTGCCTTGTGTGAGGTCTCATTTGGGTGCATAGTTATGAAGAACGAATATTTCATTGCAGTATTCGTATCCGATACGATACATGTGTGATACTCGAGAATACTATCGGATACACTCATTACATATCCAGTAATAATAATATATTCGGATATTTTGTCGGTACTTATCCACTACTGCATATGGTTCAAATGTGAATGTGCTTATGCAAAACAATGTGTAATTTTTAATTTTGATATTTGTATTTTCTCCTTGCATTCATATG